GACCAGAAGAAAATGAAATTGCAAGTCAAAGTTCATATTTTTTAGGCAGCACAGATGTGGGTCAAAACACCAAACTGGTATTTGTATACGGGTCTATTTGCCCTTAGCTTCTGAAATAAGAGATTGGGTTGTCTCTGGAGAAGACCACATTGACATTCTGTTAATGGAAGGACAACTATTCAATAAAGGTATAAAAATGCTCAATACTTATTCAATAGTTATTTTAAGCTGCTGCTTTATACACAAATAAATAAAGAATGACGAGGGTTTAAGAATTATGCATTAACACTGAACGTGCGTTCATCGCTAACATTGACATTGCTTGGTAATTTATAGAACAGTGCAGAGAATTTTCGATACATTGTCTTATACCTGAAAACTGCGGAGAAGATCTGAAAGGTCTTCTGCAGCTGGATAGGCTTAGAATCGGCGTAAAACTGTTATGCTAATAAATATAAAAAGGCTTAATTGATTTGAATTTAATTTGAAACAGAAGTAGAAAACAGCACATTCTTTTCTTTATTTGTTTTTTTTTCAATTCTTTTAATTTGTGTTGTAGCAGGGAATCGGCATTTACCAATAGCCATATGACAATAAATAAAAAAATTGAGGATTTACATAATGATTAATCCATAAGATCCGAAGGTTTTCTTCTATTTAGATGGCTGATGGGACGCTAACCTGATGTGTAAACATAGTTTGCATGGGTATAGTATAAACGAAAAATTATAGCGGCGTCAGGACGTAGGTGGCATTATATATAAATACATTCATCCCAAACATTAAATCTTAAAACAACGATAAACGATCCGAAACGTTAAGTCTTAAAGAATAACGATAAACGACTAGGTTATGGAAAGGGCTAAACAACCTACTTGGTATGTCGACTATGCCTATTTTCAGGCAGTATCCCAATTCAATATTGAATGTTTAGAAAAAAATTAAGTATATATTTCACGACTTTTTAAAATGTACCGAGAAAAATAAAATACGACTGTGTGTGCTGTGTTTTTTTATTAACAAGAAGGTGATTGTCTTTTCTCGTACATAAGCATGGTATAAAAGTCCTGCCACTGAGCCGTTATCAGAGATTACAGAATTTAACAATTCTTCAACAGCCGAAAACAATATCCAAACCAATCTCGCAATAGAAGCAAAGATCGCAAATGGGCGCATATACTTATCCAAGTAAAATAAGCACCGTGACGCTTTTCAGATGCCAAATTCGTAATCTCTAGTTCAGCTTTCTAATTTATCAAGCATCAAACAAGTCTCAGCAGTTACTATGAATTTATATTAGGCAATCTTAGATGCATCGTTTGATTTGTGTGTTGCCGGTCCGGGAATTGGCATTGACATCGTCATTGGCAGACAGACGGTTAGGCAGGCAGGCAGGCAGGCATAACTCTTGCCACTTTGTGTTCTTTTCCGCTTTTAACTGCATACAAAATTCATGTGTGATTTGCATTTTGTTGCCATAACAAAGTTTCATGCTCACCCAGGCGCACTAAAACTCGGTGTCAATTTTAAGTCATCCCTGCTCCTGCCATATCACCAACCCACCCAAACCTATTTTGTTATTGTTGTCATTGTTGCTACTCGTACTGTTGCCACTTGCAGACGTCTGCTGCCGCTTTGTGTTGCTGTTGCTTGTGTGTTCGTCTTAGCACGAATTTTTATGGCTCATAAAATGTGAAATTAGAGCCGCTGCCGAGGCTGCTGTTCCTTTGTAGACAGGGTTTCACTGAAGTGGATAAATCGAGTGAACGTGAATACACTTTATAACGCCCACACATACACGTACACGCACATAAACTTGCAGCCAGTGGCTTTGTTTTTGTGGAATTAGTATTACATTTAAATGGCACATAATTTGTTTGCTTCATAATATTTAAGTACAAAGCCAAAGTCTTATATTTATGTAGCTACACTCGGTTGCTATTCGATGGACTTAGGGGACTCACGGCACAGGCCGCTTTCCTGACTGCTTGACAACAGTCTTCGCTACTTGTTACCATGACTTTTGTCGTGCACGCAAATCTCCAGTTGAGCATCATGTTGACAGCCCGCTTATAAATCACATTTGCGTAATTTGTAAGCGGCCTCTGCGCAATAATGCAGGCGTATGCGCAACTGTGCAACACTCAACACGTTGCGAGTCAAGGGAAAACATAAAATAACAGCCACGGTAGGAGCCCGTTGTAAAAGCAAAGCAGTAACAATTGCGTATTTGTTCGGAGTGTGTGTACTTGTGTTTGTGTATGGGTGTGTGTGGGTGTTTGTATTTATGTTTACTTGTGGGTGTTAAGCGTGCGGAAATTTTTAATTGCCGCTTAAGCACAACAAGCAAATGGCCTTTGTTTTCGCATCCTTGTTGTTTGATGGTCTTATGCCTGCTGCGGCTGTATTTCATGACCGCTGGTCCCCAAGCATTCGCATTTATGACAGAGAAATATTTTTCATTTACTTGACTATTTACTTGTACACGACACACACACACACAAATATCTACTTACATAATACACAAATACTTGTACAGACTCAGATAAGGACATCAAAATGTCCTTGGGCTGCTTGCAAAATAAATAACAGCAAAATTCGCATAAATCAAAGTAAATAATGTGCTTACGTTTTTGAAAGCTAAACAGCGCGGCCTTCAACCCACCCCAATTTCTTCCCTCAATCCCCACCCCCCCTCCCCCACCACACACACAAGAATATATAAAATTACAGCATTCAATGCGAGAAAGCAAACAACTTTCTTGATTATTTTAAACATTTTTGAAGCGCACAAATCAAAGAAACCGTTTCTACAAATTTTTGAAAATGCGATTTTATCCAATGGAGATTTTTCAGTTTTATTTTAAACCTTTAAATCCGACATTTTAAATTTAAAAATTATTTATAATTACTGAGTTTAGTTTTATAATTAATTATGGCATTTAGCTACTAAGATAGAATGTATAGCAATTTCATTGTAAATAAAAGCTTTGCTTTAAATATATATTCTTCATTGCGGACAGTTATCTTGAGTAACTGACAAGACAAGAATATATTTAGATGTTTCTTTAATGAAATTCTAAAATTTTGTAATATTTACATTTACCTACTAAAGTTAAAGCTATTTGTGGTATAGCATTTAACATCATTATAATGAGATTTGGTGCATTACAAGTTTTATTTTTATTAAAGTAAAACGAAAACGATGCGAAAATGAGTTGGAAAAAATTATGTGTGGAAGGTACACTTATTGATTTTGTTTAATATTTTATTAAAATCCGACTGAGTTTCTTTTTGTTATGCAAATTATCGTCACTTTCACTAAGAGTATTGCCACAAAGACTTTAAGAAGCTAATCACAAGATTTTCGCTCCCTGCCACTCACTGCAACATTTTTCTTTATATCTTTGCAGCTGACACTGAAATTTAAAAAGGCAGCTGTTTGATGCTGCAGGTGGCACAAGATAAACAGACTGAAAGCCAAATAAGAGACATGGTCATAAAGGACTTGGCAGCCTGTCACTGCATGCGGTCCTCTGTGCACAACATCCTGATTTTGATTCCTTTGATGCAAATGGCAAAGCATTTCTGAGAAATGCATCGACATTAGCAAAAACAAAAGAAAGCCAAGTTAAGTGGGAAGCAATAAAATCCACATTGCCATTAAGAGGTGACGGTGGCAGTGACGGGTATAGAGGATTGGAATTGAAACCTTTTGCTGTTCAGAGGCAGTCAATCAATACCAATCAGAAACAACGTCAGCTGCGACGTCAGCAACGGCAGAAGGACCAAAGGAGCAACAAAATGCCACGGGCGTTTGGGAGTTGGCGTCTTTTATACCTGCAGATGCTGATGATGCTGCTGCTCATGTGGATGGTAATGCAGACGCATAGCCTTGATGTGGCAACCCAACCGGCGCGTGCTCGCATCAAAACGGAAACGGTTTCCCGTGCTAGCGGTGTTGCCGTTGCTGAACAAAGCGCAACGGAAGGCATGGCGGCTAAAACTGCGGGAGAGCCTTTTTACATACGCCACGGACGTTCTCGTGTTCAACACATGCTGCACAACATCAGTAGTGGTACTGGTGGCGTCGAAGTAGTTGGAAGCGGGGGCAGTGGCAGTGGCAGTGGAGGTAGTGGCAGCACACGCCTTCTGCTGGTCACAAATGTGCCGCCAGTGACGCCCACAATGCTGCCTGGCGGCACAACAAGCGCACCAGTCACCCATAAAATACGCAAATTGCACAAAAAGAAAATAAACGAGAGCATACGAAAAAGCGTGGACAAGAGTCTCGGCGTGCTGCACCCTCCAAAAAACCATCGCAGCTTGGTCGAGGCCGAGCATTTACAAGGTCGACCCACTGATGTGGACATGGATACCGATGCAGATGCAGCACTCAGAGAGGTCATGCAGCTGGCTGATGAGATTGATTTGGAAAACTCATTAGAGTCGGCTTATCAGAATGTCGACATGGACTTAGTTGATGAAACGACCGTGGCGAGCATTGAGCCTGCGGCTGAACGGTCCACAAGCAGACCAGGTGCAAATGCCGTCCGACAATTTGTGCGTGTCAATGATGCCAATTATGAGGAAGATGATAGCAATGAGGCCGATAAGGGCGCAAGCACGCAACGAGTGAAATTTCCTCTATTCAGTAAACCCGATGCTGGCAATGATCCAAGCCAAATGGGTGCTCCGACGTGGAATCGGCATAGTCGCCGTTCAGGCAGCACGCGATTACTGCCTGTGGTCGCTGTCAGGAGCAACAGCAACACCAACAGCAGCAGCAACATCAGTCCCGATATACTGCAGGCTGGATCCATTAAAGTGCCAGCTGGGGGAAGCAGCAGTGTAAGCAGCATTGAAGATTCCACGGAATCCGATTACGCGCAGTCACACGATGAAAACAATGCAAACGTTAACATTGGGGCAGTGACAGATACAGAAGCTGAGAGCGATGATGATGCGGATGATGAGGATGATGATGATGATGACGAAGCTGAAGCTGAAGCTAAAACCGACTACAGCATTGTGCATTATAGCAACGAGGCTACTCAGAATTATAGCAGAGAAAGCGGCAGCGACAGCAGCACAACCGAATACATATGGAATGTGGTGGAGGACCATTCCCGGGAGCCCCATCATTCGGCCAGCACAAGCCAAAACGACGATATGCAGCTGAAGGAGATTAATTTTGAAAGCGAAGCCGAATTGAGTGATTCCGATGGCATATTAGATACCTCAGAAGTAACCATGGACGATGGCTATCCACCGGAAGTGCTAATCGATGATAACACCAAACCTCTAGTCATTGGCGATGTCGAGGGTGATGATCTGGAATCGAATCAAATTACCGCGGATGTGATTAATGCACGTGATAGTAAAATGGACTTGGTTTCGACCTTTTTGCAATACATTGAGACGCAACATCTATTGGGATCCAAATGTGTGGCCGGCACATCGCTGAATCTGGGTGAGGGCGTCGTGGACCGTTATGCACAGGATCGATTTAGGGTTGAGGCTGAGGTAGCTGTCAATCGCGCCAATATGCTGACCAGGTGAGTTACTGTAAAAGTTGCGTTGCCCTTTACCATAGTTTCTGTTATACCTATTTCCAAACTTTTCCAATTCAAAGTTGTACAACAGTCGGCCAATTCCGTCTGTCTCTGCAACTGTGTTCGGTCAAATGGAAACGCGCACGCAAATGGGCGCCACATGTGTGGCCAGCGATGGCCCTAGAATTCATGTGCCTCCATGGTCTTTGTCATGCCTTGATGCCGCAGTTCGTGTGTGGCCTTCCCACTTGCAGCTTTTGATAAAAGTTCAATTACTTTGGTGACCACCACAGAGGGACTGAGACAAAGCTGCCGCCTACTTCTAGGCGCTCCCTACAAAAACAAAGACGGAATGTTTTGATTTACTTTGACAACCACAACTATGCCAGTTAGTTTCGGTTTTTTTTTCTTGTTTGTTTTTTGTTGCAATTTCTCCAATTTCTTTCATCTAGCTGTCAGCGTGCGTGCGAATATTTTGTCTTCGATATGTATATCGATATAGCAGGCACTGGACAATCTCAAGGACATACGGCTTGAGCTTGGAGCTCTGTGCGTGTCCTGCAAAGTTCCCTGAACATTTTCTCTTTTTGCTTTATTCCATGGCGGGGCAGTCAACTATAATAAGTACCGAGTTTCTGTTGCAGACTCGTGCACGTCCCCCATACATATGTACATCGGAATATATACTCGAATGTGGGTACGCCCTGTCAGACTGCACATGTGTGGCTATATACATACATACATACATAAAAATATAGAATGCTAACGAAAAAATGTTTCAAGTTTTTTCCATTTGTTTTTGCTCTTCTTTTTTACAAGCTGTTGGCAATCAAAGCGAGCATTGAACGCACCCAGTTACCGATTTCTCTTTCTACTTTTTTCGTCGTCTCCACATAATTTCTTTATGTCGATAAGAGCTTTTCCTCCTGTCGTTTCTGTCGCACTTTTTATGTGTTCTCAGCAACTTGCTTTTCCAAACGTCTCAATAGTTGCTCGTGCTTTGACACAAAAGCCTTGATTAGAGTACTAGCATTAAATACGTGTGCGCATCTAAAAGTAATTTGTTAAAAGCCTGCCCACAAAATAAAGTGTTCGACCTCAACTGGCAGAGAAACCATAAAAAGTAAAGTCAAACGAAATAGAATAGAATGAAGCAACAACGACTGACAAATCTAATGAACAAATGCTGACTGCCTGTCAATAAAATACAAACAAACAATTAGTGCTGGTCGACGTTTGGACGAATTAAGTGGATTGGTGCAGCCGGACAACAGAGCAACATAGCCATAACAACAAAGACGACACAAGCCTAAGAGCAAATAGTTACAACAACGAGAGCAACATCAATGGCAGTAGAAGTAACAATAACAATAGCGAGCCCATTGCAATAAATCGTCAACGCGCTGTCAAATGTCAATAAATTAAATTATATGCCCTGTACTCAACAGGATCAACATTATTCTATTTAGTGTCAAATGCCAGACATTTGTTTCCATAACACGCATTGCTAACATAAAAAAAATCTCGCCATTGGGAATTGTGTTCTTGTTTATTTATAACCGAGGTCTGTCATTGAAAGCTAGACCAACATAATTTCCAAACTGTAAAGAGTCGCTGCTTCAATTCTGTTATTTATTTATTAAATATTTATAGACTGAAAATAGCTTTCGTTTTATAAATTATTGCTAGCAGTTCGATGCAGATTTATTGAGCGCTTAAGATAAATAATATAAAATATGAGCAATTAAGTGTAATTGAGTTCAAACGAAATTGAAAATGTTAGTAATGGCGGACTTAATAATTAGCTCTGACTGCAAAAAAAATTGAAATAAAATTTTTAGAAAAAGCCAGTAAGAAGGTTGGGATTAGTAAGGTTAATAGACAAAGATACAAAGGTATAAATTCAAATATTTCACCTATAATTGTAATTAATTAATCTAAATGAAAATGAAATGTGATTTCTCGATCTATGTCCTCTTTATAATTACTTATATCTTTTTATTAACTATTTTTAATTAGTACCTTTTATATTTAACTAGAAATTTAATTATTTGAAATCCTTACTTCGTTTCTAACTAGAAAATACACCTGAATGCATCTTCCAATGGACTTTTCTATTTTGCGGAGACGAATTCAAAGTCTCTATTAATTTAATTGCTTCCCAAAAGTAATGTCCATAGTTTAAAGTGCGTTTCCAAATCGGCATATAGAGATATACAATTAAATATTTTTAAAGCACAACAGTTGTTAAATTTATCTGAGGGAGGAGCGATTCCAGACGCATCATTTGATTTGCCAGCAAATAATTAATAAGTTTATAGTTACAAATACCCCCTCCGTGTTGTTGTGTTTGCATAACATTGAGTACAATATTAATTTATTAACAGAAAGAACCTCAGCTGCAAAGGTATACCATGCTTGATAGCTTTCGAGCTGCTGTAGTATCAGCAGAGGGCAACTTTAATTAGAAGCAGACAGTGAGTCCATTTAGCTGCAAGCTCTGTTTCTCCGTTTGGTTCTTTCTATCGCTGCCCATGCCATAAATCTGGCCCACCTATAAAATAAGAAAAGTTTCTAATCGACTACGCACACAAATCCCTTGCTCATAATTCCGACGCACATAAATAAACTTGGATAATCATCAGACTCGAAGATATTTTAATCAGTTTGCGCGCGCAACGCAATTTGTTTCATGGATAAACATAATCAAAAACTTGCTGCGTCCTGCATCCCACGCCCCATCTCTGCACCTCTCCCGCGACTCTTACATCAAGCTGAAAAGTTGTGCGTGAAATGGAAAAGTGGTGGGCGCTAAAGGAGGTTGGGGGAAGCGAGGACGCAAAGGAAATCACACCCAATAACTGTGTGTAAAAACGACGCCTTCACAACTTCCGGCCCAGACATGCACAACAGACGAAGTGAAGTAGCTGGAGGAGCACTTGGCCCACGTACCATAGCAAACTAATTGAAGTTATTGTTTTGTGATACTTAGTTGCTATTGTTGTTGTTGTTGCTGCTGCTGTTGTTGTTTTGGCTGCTCTTCTTGCCGCTTTGTGTGTTGAGGCATTTCCGTTTATTTGTTACGCAAACAGAACAAAGCCAAGCAGCAGGCAGCGACCAAGAAAAAGAGAAACATTTAAGCAAAACAAAGGCAACAACGTGAACACGCTCACACTCACACTTACATGCACATACACATACATCACATACATACATATGTATATACATAAGCAAGATGTGGAGGCAGGAAAAACAATATCAATTCCAGTCTAAATTACGAGCTTCAATTGTTTTCCTGCCCTGGCCACTTTTGTTAGTTTCAGCGCTACTCACACAGGCATACCAACTCACAAGGACTAACACACACACACACACCTTGCACATAAAAACAAAGTAGCGCAAAGTGTTGCAAAGCCAAAGTGGAAAAGTGAAAAAGTGAAAAAGAATCGGAAAACTTTTAAACACTTAGCCATGTTGTCGTTGAGTATTGCCGCAGCTTGCGCCACGTTCTTACCTCTCCCTAAACTGAGTTTCGTTGACAGCTACATACTACAAGTACTACTGTTCTTGCTGCTACTGATGTTGTTGATGTTTGGGACACATTATGGTACGCTTGACGCACGACGGCAACATCACGTCAAAGGGGCACGTCTTTTGACAGCTGTCTGTATTTGCGTTTGGATAGTATTTGCACTGACAACTTCATGCTTCAATGGGATAGAGATGGAGAAAAGCCGGTCTTTGCTGTCGTCCTGTTTGGCATTCAGCGTTACGCGATTTGTCGTGTTTTGCACTCGATACAATTCAAATAAAGTTGTTGCAAAGTTTCTGTTTTCTACATTATTGCTTGTTGTTGAAATAAGCTGTGCTGAGCGCAGCACAGATCATCTTCTCTTTCGCAATTTCTTTAGAAAACTTTTACGAAAAACAAAGAGGTAACGATTTTGATGTAACTGCCTCCTCCCAGACAAATCGAAATCTGCATAAGCTGTTTGCATGGCTGGCGCATGCAATTCTGATTGCAAAAAAGCAATAAAATGCGCGACATTGCTGACACGACAGCTACAAGGTCAAAAGCAGCGCCCCTTCTGCCAACGGCACTACCAACATTTGCAAGATTCTGGCAGGCCACATACATACTGTGGATATTTTTGGGAAAGTTTTACTTTAAAAGTATTATGGGGACTAAGCTTTTAAAGATTTTTTATTACATTTTTCAATTACTTGATTTGTTAACTCTTTTCTTAAAACAATTTAAAATAAAACACATTTTTTATGTAGGTTAAAAAAAACATTGTAATGAATAATGATGCACTTGGCCTTTGACTTTGTATGCCATTTGAAAATTAGTTCGATCAGATGTCGCCTTGTCTGAATATTTCATTGTCGCGCAGCTCTTGTTCTCAATATATGTTTTTGTCGCAGGCATTCAACACTACTTGTATGTTCAGAATCTCTTCTACGACAATTTTTCAATGTTTTTAATAGGTAGATGCTATTCGGAACGGAGACAAATACAAGAAATCAAAAACCATGAAAATTGGGCCAGACGAGTGTGTTAAAAAAACCCAGACTTTGTTGAAATTAAGATTGTATAGAGTATTTCAAGGGCGAGAACCCACTTAAGCTTTCCCTCTGGTTTTTTTTTTTTTAAATGCACACTGAACTGTTGCACTGTGCTTTGCAACTAGTTGTGCTAATAGTAATGGTTGTCGTTTTAGTCCCCAGCGTCATTGTCAACATGCTTCAAAGTTTGCAAGCGCAAATAAATAAATATGCATGCACACATACAAACACACACACACACGCACACACAGATGTATGTACATGGAAGCACATTTGGACAGACAACGCATGCACATGGCTAACATCCGCTTCCTTTGTCGTTTTGTCGTTTTGTGACGGTTGATTTGGTTCGCTGCGCTGCCTCTGACGTGCTCTACCTCGGCGCTGCGGGTGTTGCTAATAACGTACTATGTTGCCAACGTCCTTGCCCCTTCAGT